AACATAGTATGTATTTATACTATTAAGAAATATAAGTAAAAGCCATTTATTTCAACAATTGGCAAAAAGAAGAACTTATTTATATATATATGTATATATAATAATTATATTTTTTTAAATCTGACAGTATAATATTTTTTTTGCTCAAACCAAATTCAGTTTTTTTTAGTTTGAAATCCATTGGAATAAAAAGGTAAGTAAAAAGATGATAGCTAAGAAGATAGAAAATGTTAACCCTGGAATTCCATTATAATACATTTATGCCGAGAAATGACTCCCAAAGTTTTAATCGTATCCCATATCTGATATTAAGGATGAAAAAGTGTTCAAATAACAGTCTTGACGGATGTCCTAAGGTCCAGAGATGAAAAAAATCACTGGAAGCCTGGGAGTATGGGGCCAGAAGGGTGTTTTTTATATTAAAACTGAAAGATTTTCACATTAAAAAATGCACTTAAAGCCATTTCCTGGGGTCACCTGTGCAGAAAATCAAAATGAAATTTGTCATATTATCTTCAACATAAATGACCAAGCACTGGTAGATTAAGTGGGGGAGAGATAAATTATACACCTGCTCCACTGGGCATGTACATCTAGATGCAGTGAAAATTCTGTCACACATAAAAGCTGGTAGTGCTGAAATTGTTTGGATCTGCTAACTTATCAGATGTAGCAGTATCTTCTTTCCCTACCGTAGGCAGCTCATTTGACATTAGTTGTGCAAAATGATGTTATGTGGTGGGTAGAAATGGTGGCATTTCGACTGAACACGGTCTTTTAATGCACTGATTCCGCATGTCCCATTTTGACAAATATAGTAAACTGCTATGCCATGAGTATGGATTTTGTGAAAAAATTCACCGAGCATGTAGCTCTACGACAGTTAAATTGACCAGTCTCATTTAAAGTTAGGATAGAGAAGATAACAGATAAAATATAGTTTTTCTGAAAAAGAAAAAAAAATCACGTTTTAAAGATTATACAAATGAAATTTGAAAATTTTCAGATGAAGAAAATTATTTTAAATCTTAACATGAAAATCACTTTGCACTCAGAGCTGTCAACACTCTACTGACAATTCATCCCTGAATATATGGAGTCAAAGATAATTACAAATTCTGATTTTTAGTCAACAAAATACTTGTAATGTTTACTGATAGTCTGCAAAAGATACATAAAACATTTGGTTACTTTGGTGATTACGAATAAGATGCAATGCACCTCTTTCTTATGGAAAACGTTAAATATACATACATTTTTGATGAAAATGCATTTCAGTGTATACAATTTAAAAATTTGAATTTACAGCATAATGGGCTTCTTCAATGTGTGGGGCTGGCTCCACTGATAATCTGCCACTAAGAAAGTTGGGTTGTTTGAACTCAATAAACACATTCTTGCAGTTTCTAAATTATAAAAAAATACTTTAATGAGCTATTTAGTATTGTTTGCAACAATTAGTTTGTTTGTTTGCAGTTAAGCACAAAGCTACACAATAGCTTCTCTGTGCTCTGCCCATCACAAGTATCGAAACCGGAATTCTAGCATTATAAGACAGCAGACTTACCATTGTGCCACTAGGAGGCAGCAACAATTAGAAAAATAAAAAAGGTGTCACATCCAGTAAAAACTAACTATGGGGGAGATGGGTAGAATCCTAAAAATTTGTAACTATACACCCACCCTCTAAAAACTACTTCTGATCTGACTTGATACACTAGTTACACTTGTTAAAAATCAGGAATAATATAACCAGTGATCAAGAATAATAGTTTTACAAAGTAAAAGTCAGCATGAAAAATTCCTATTGAACTACAAGGTTATATTTGTGTAGTCCAGGGCCTAAAATATTTTTTTTCAAGGGTAAAAATGAGGTGGGGTGCTGCTAGCACTCACTAATGGTGCAGTTATGAAACATTTTGTAAAAATATGCTCTGAGAATGCATTTAAAATGTATTTTGAGAAATAATTTACAATTTTCTACAGCAATGCAAGTTAGAGAGACAGTTCATGAAAATGCTTCCTACAACAAAGCAAGAAAACTGCTTGGACATTCATCATCTCCTCGTGAAGCAACAACATTCTGAATAAGGCTGGTGGACCATTTAATTTTACAACAAGCAGCATAAGGACAGAGCTGGAGGACATAAAGTAAGCTCCCCTCTGGATTGCTTAGAGCAGTGAACTGTAAATAGACAGTGCCAGCAATATTATAGTTGCAACTGTCCCACAGGCAATACTATGTAAAAGTCAGAGTGATTGGTCCCCAGATGGGTTACAGAAAATAAAGCAACTGCAGGGAAAGATCATCACCTGAATATACATGTCATGTCATGAAGGAGTAAAGCTGACAAGCTCAAGGGAAAAGCCTCTTTATCAACTCAAGTGGCAGGATATCAACCTTCTCTGCACTAGTAAGGTGAAAGCAGCAACCATAGAAGGTCTTCATCAACATTCAGAGGTAACGACATTGCTGGAAAACAAAGTACCATATGATGTAGTTAGGAAAAGCAAGGGTTGAAAAAATCAGTAAGACAGTACACAGCCAGAAGGCCATTGGTAACATGACTAAGGAAACTCTCTTCTTTCTCCTGCAAGATCCCTACACCAAGTTCTTGGAAATTTTGAAAGCCCATCTTTTGTTGTATCAGCAGTGTGATCATGGCAAATGAACCTGGGAAATCCTGTTATCCCACCTGAAACTACAGCAGCTTCACCACAACACCTGATGGCATCTGCTGCAGTGAAGCTGGTGATTGATGCTTCATTCAGAGGCATCCCTTAGATAGGCCAATCCCCCCCCATATATATATATATATATATATATATATATACATGTTAGCTTGAACTATTTTAATATACAAAACAATACAAGCAAATACTCTCAAAATATGGATGTTTACATTTTATTCTTTAAAAACCCACAACTGTCCAAGAGCCTAACTGCCTTGAAATTTGGTATGTGAAGTAAGGGTCCACTAGAGGACATCCACTGAAATTTGTGATAGTTTGGATGACCATTTATTATCCTATTCTTTAGTATATCTTAACCCTAAAATTTATAGGAAATTGATTAACTCCTTGAAATGTTTGGAACTCAATTATCAATGTTATCAGTTGCTTTTCTCATAAAGTAGAATGGTGAAAAAGATACACAAATTATATAAAAATGATTTGTTTTTGTTTGTTGTTAAGCACAAATCTACACAATGGGCTATCTGTGCTGTGCCCACCATGGGCATCAAAACCCTGATTTTAGCATTGCAAGCACGCAGTCTTGCCACTTGTTGTTGTTGCAGACATACATACATACTGCAACTACTTTTAAATCCATACATCTTACCTGTTTTTGAACATATTTCATCGTAATTATGACTTCCAGTGAAATACTTGACAAGTCCAGGTTGTTTGATTGGTGTTTGTACTTCTGATGGTAAGTAGATTGGATATTTGTGTAAGCGACGAATCAGACCTCGCATCATACCGAACTGGATTAATTTTCTAGGAAAATGAATAACTTTATGATCTATAGTTGTGTCAACACATCTTAATTTCTTAATGTTAAAATAAATGAATAATTTCAACATACTCATAAGCAGAACTGGCCAATTAACTCAATTACTTACGAGTGTCAATCACAGTCATGAAAATAATCAATTAATTAAAATCAGTGTTTCTAAATATTACTGTTTAACAATCCAATTAATCAGAATCATTTTTATTTTTTAACTTAATCAATTAGTGACACAACTCACAAAAATAATCAAGTAATCAAAATTAGGGTTTCTGAATGATATTACTTTTGATTATTCTAACTATCCTGTATTCAAGTGATTGAAATATTGCCATAATGATTTCTCATTACATTTTTGATTAGTTAAAGTTCATTTAGCTTAATCAATTAGTTTTATAACTTACAAAAATAATAAACTACTCAAAATAATTTGGATTTCCGATGATTATTCCAAGTATCCAAGTGATCAAAACATTGATTAACTCAAGTTTAATAAGCTTTGGGCCAGTATGGCCAAGTGATTGGGAGAGAGGGGAGGATGATTCAAGGCTTGACTCCCATTTCCACCAAGTATGGTTGTCCTTTCAATCAGTGGGGGGGGGGTGGGGGGGTGGGTCTGGTTCGTACGAGTAGTAGTAGTACGTAGGACGAGGTAG